ACATAATACAATAATTTTTGCATCATTCGATGCAGCAAACATTTCTACAACCAGAAATGTAAAAAAAAACTTTATAATTTTAAAAATTTGATCAGTAAAAAAGCAAATTACTGACACCTCTTGCATCGTAGATTGATCCGTTCTGAAAAATAGTCAATAGATCAAACAATACACATGAAAGCGTTCTTTGAAAGAAAATTCTGGAAAGTCACAAAGTTTTTTTTTCTGTTTAATTGATCACTGAACTATTCTGCGAATTTAATTTGAAGTATATAACTCATTTTTTTGTTTTATTATTTTAGCTTCAGCTGTTCGGAAAAATAATAATAATAACGATACTTCCACTGCACATCGTAAATTATTTTGTCATTTAGAATCTGATGATGCATCAATGAATGCACTTTTTATACGACAATTACGTGTAGATCTTGTTGATGAACAATTTCATCGGAAATTTGTTCAAATCTTTCAATTCATATTTCGAAATTCTCGGAAATTTTCTAAAGTATCACTGGATAAATGGGCAATATTAATTACTAAAAATCGTGGAAAAGTACAAATTCAAACTTTCTTAACCCTCTTAAACACAATATTATTAATTTTCTATCTTATTAGATCTTTTCAAATGATGCTCAATGTGATCAATAATTAATGAATAAATTTTTGGTTCGTCTTGATATGGCAACGGATACATTAAGTTTATTAAATCGTATAATTCAATCAAAGAAAGCTCGTGAACAACATGATGGGCTTAGAAAATTACTTTTACTTTTAAAAAATATACCAATAAATCGCGAAAAGGTCAAATTAAGAATTTACCTTCAATATCAAACCAATCTTATAAAACAATCTCGGCTATTAAATAGTGCTCATAGCGAAGCACTGAATAATATTTAGTTATACTATAGGTTTTTGTTCTTTTGTTTGTACTGTATATATCATAATCTATTATGATGCTATGTTCAGATAGTAGCTAACCTATGACTTATTCTTTAGTGATTTTTCCGTTTTCTAATCATAGAAACTATCTTTCTATACAAAATGGCACAAGTGTGAAAATAGTTCTCTTGTTATTACTTTTTTTTCCACATTTACACTTAATAAACCATTACCTAATATATTAATTTAAGTTTCAAACGAGAATTGATCCTATGCTGTACAAAAAAACCGAATGTAGACGCAGTCGGTCAAAACGAAATATATTCTACTTTAATTCTTTTTAAAAATTACTTTTTTGAAACAGATTCTTCAACTATGAATATATGTAAGAATGTTGCCTCTTTCATCTAAAACCTAAGTAGTTTTTAATTAATTAATTAATTAACTGAAAAGTAATTAGTGAATAATTCTCTAACCCTATGACGAAAACTTCCACAATTTCAAGATAGACTCTTCGTCATAAACTACATTCATGGTAAAATTTTCAGTGAGATCGAACTCCAAAACATTTTCTTCCTAAAATTGATTTCTCAGAGTTTTTATTTATTTTGCTTTAATCTCAAGATTCTTAAGAACTATTTATACTATTCAGAATTGATTTTTGAATTTCTTATTTAGTGACAAGAGCCTTTTTCGTTCGTCAGTCATGTCGCTAGCGACGAATACATCTATTTTTTTGAAAAATCTAAGCCTGTATAGAAAAAAACTTTGCACTCAGATCTTTTCATATGAAGAGTTCTCTACAGAACACACCATATAGTTTTGAAAAATCCTGTTTGAACGTGTTATGTTTTTAAATGGAACTGAATGTAGTCCAAACCTGTGTACTTTTTGTTTCACCTTGCTAACGCTAATCTTTTAGAGATAACTTCTCTGAACAAAGATATATAGAACTGATTTTTTCAGAGTATCTACAGTAACTTTGCATACATATGACAGATACAAACTAGCTCTAGAAACGATTATTATTCAAATATATACATATTTCAATTTTGCGAAGTTACGTCACTTGCGAATCTTTTTGCCCATATATATATATTGTGTTTCTAGATCATTTATTTCACCTCAACTGTTCGAAACCAAGTCTTTTTATACGAATACCTCAAAACTAATTTTTTTTTTCATTCTAAATAAACAAACTTGCTGATTTCATAGAAAAATGATCTGTGCTGATTCGATGCTTTTTTGATATAACATAGTTTTATAGTTCATTTTCTAATTTCCTTAAAGATTACATTTTCTTTTTGATTTTAGACTAATCAAAGGACGATGTATCTATTTCGGCATGTTATAGAACTTACATTGACGATCGATTGGAACTAGCATTATGGTTCAGTTGAATATCTTTCAACAATTCTTAGTCTATTGAATCTTCAGATAGACAAGATTAGTCAACGGGAAAAATCATCTTTCATCTTTCCGTCATAGAACATATTGCCACTAGTGTCAATAGAGATAACAGTTTGCTTATGTCCAGGTCGTATTCGCAGAGTCGAGAAATCTCTAATGGAAAAGAAAACGAAATAAAATTACTCGTCTAATGCTATTGAGAATATGCATATTCATACTGATTTGGAAAAGCCCAGCTCTCTATCTTCATAACTATCGATAATGGCGATGTAAGTGTGGATGTGAGTGGAGACGTTTGCGAATGAATGTTGAACAGAATAGGCAAAACCACACTCACACCCTATACATAAATTTGGTTCTTTAGCAATTTAATCATTCTTATGATTGTAAAGCTTTTTTCTCCGGTTTTCTTATTTCTAGTAGGAACTGTTATGTGTCTTTATTGGACTTCACCATATTACAAAAAACAAATTTATCACTGTTTGAAAGTACGAGCACTAGTCTAAACACTTAGGTTCAAGCTTGCAAGAAATCTCTTATTTTTAGAAAAAATCGGATTAGATGTTATCAAGAATTTTAACCAGAACTGGAACCGGGACAGGGACCTGGACCAAAACAAAACTTGGTCTCATAGTCCTCTATTTTAGATGGACAGGTTTTTTTTAATCTGCTAGACAACTCATATTCGTTATGAAGCCTAACTCAATGAACAAAAATGAGATAGACACCAAAAAAAGAGTAAGGAGTCCTGTTTGATTGTTTATCCTGTAGTTTTCTTTTTGTGTTTGTTATCATGTTGAAAAATATCTATTAAATATTATAAGATAAAATGAACTAGCAACAGAGAATACAAGAGAAAAATGATGGACTCCGATTCCTTAGAGTTTGATGTTTCCCTCTTGACAGTAATGTAAAAATAATCATTGACATCGAAGCATAATTTACAATCGAAACAAGAAGATAGTGTGAAAAGAAATTAGTTATGTTAGATATTAAATGAATCATCACATTATTAACCGTAGTAAAATTGAAATTGAGAAAAAAATCATGAAGTTTTATGCTAGTTTGATTAAGATGTTTAATTCTTATCAAAAATTAATTTGCTTCATCTTCATTCTGAAGACATTTCTGAAAGTTAATCACGTAATCACTTGTAGGACATATCAGCTTTTAATTCGTAGAAAATAGAAATAAGGCCATGTTGTTTGAAAAAAAACAAATAGGAACGAATTTGTTCTTCTATGGATANCATATGCTCAGAGTTTAGTAGAAATATTTTACCATTAATTGACCATTTACTTCAGTAATTGATTTTTCTAATACTGTTTTTTTTATTTGAATCAGTCAGTTATTTTTACAGTGATGTCAACAATAAATTTTTTTCAAGTAATAAAACAAACAAACAAACACACAACACAAGCTACTCGTTTCATAAATTCATCTAATAAATAATACATTGCTACATATAAACAAACTACAGTAGTGACAAAAAATTCGGCGACGTCTGATAATCAATCTCCAAACTCTCGTGCTTGAATTACTTCGAATATATTTTATGTATATTGTATGCTTATCAGTTTTTGCAATATGAAAGCTCATAACAAAATAATTAACTCCAGCAACAAAAAAAATTCCCTGACACATCACGTATGACTCAACTGTTCACTTATTTTCCACTTTGAGGAACACTATTGAAAAGAGTGTAAACAACTGCCTATATTGCATGTTATTTTGATTTGGAAATGATAGAGAATAGATGTTCTTTGAAAAGCAAGTTTTCATAGGAATTTTTGCTTCATTCGAAAATTGCCTGAAAATCACAAACAGACAAGAGAAAAAACTTTTGTTCTTCGTGTATTTTGAAAAGCAATTTTACTTCTACAAAACAAAATATTAATGAATTACTTCGCGTTTAAAGTATAAGTATACCGAGACGAAGAAAAAGATATGTGTAAAATTCTGGCATATTCTAACAATTTTCATTGTTGAAACTAAATAGATCAGCCTTGATTTTTTTCTTCGTTCTGGCGCCATTGCATCTAATGCACGAAGTAATTCATTAGTGGTTTGTTTTGAAGAGGGGAAGTTGCTTTTCAAAATACACGAAGAACAAAAGTTTTTTCTCTTGTCTGTTTGTGGTTTTCAGGCAATTTTCCAATGAAACATAAAAGTTCCAATGAAAACTTGCTTTTCAAAGAACTTCTATTGTCTCTCGTTTTCAAATCAAAATGACATGCAATATAGGCAGTTTCAAAAATAAGTGACCAGTTGAGTCATACATGATGTGTCACGGAATTTTCTTTTTGCTGTTGGAGCTATTTTGTTATGAGCTTTCGTATTGTAAAAACTGATAAGCATACAATATACATAAAATATATTCGAAGCAATTATAGCACGAAGGTTGGAAGATTGATTCTCAAATGTCATGAAACTTGTTGTCATCACTGTAAAAATAACTTACGACAATCCGGACAAATACGAAGATTAGTAGTAAGTTGAATAATAGATGGAACAGGTCTTTGAATCAAATTGAAAGCTAATGCAAGTCTCTCAGCATGATACAATGCAGTAGATTCACGAATTTTAGCTTCTCGTATTTTACGAGGTATCCAACTTGAATAAAGATTATGACCATGTTCAATAAGTTCAACTGCCATACGATCAAGTTCATTATTAATTTCTGTAGACTGAGGATGCAACAGATCATCAGGTTTAAATATTCCTTTAAAAAAAATAAAAATCTTTCTTCATATGCTCAGAGTTTAGTAGAAATATTTTACCATTAATTGACCATTTACTTCAGTAATTGATTTTTCTAATACTGTTTTTTTTATTTGAATCAGTCAGTTTTTTTTGTTCATATTTACTAAACGATGAATACATATTGGAGAAAAGAATTGAACCAGCTATAAAAGTTTGTCTCTGGTTAGATAATAAATATTTCATTGGATTATCTAAGCTTTTTGATAAGATTAATCGTTGATCAACATGATTATCTGATAACATGGTCACGAAAATACTATCAATGATTAAACAAGGAAAATTTGACTTTTTATTATCGTGAATCATTTTCTCTATTTCATCAAATATAAACATATCATTTAAATAATCATTCTAAATCATAATAAAATAAATATAATAAATAAACAAACCATAATGACTATGGTTTTTTTTCTGTTTTTATAAGAACTTGATTGAAGATGAATTGCATTTGATTGAAAAGATTCGAATGAAAATACATATTGAATGCATAAGCAGGTGAAAGTTTATTATTTATATCATTATGAGATGTAAATATGATTTTATCTAATCAATTGAATATCTTCTTTGACATTAAAACTAATAATTAAAGGCATATGTTTAAAAATTTGCAAACAAAGTGATAATTATAATAAAAACTGTAATAAGTATTTATAGTTTATGGAGAGAAAAAGAAATCGTTTTCAAGTGACTGTCAGATGAAACAATGGATCTCTTCAAGCTCATGATTTTTCAAGTGTCATGTTTTTTTTCAAACTGCTGATAATTAATAAAAATAACAGGAAGTTTTGGTTGGTTTTTGAGCGATATTGCTCTGCATAATAATAAGCGGTGCAAAAGTCTTTGGAAAAATATCAAACTCTGTTAGACCATATTACCGACTTCTGAACCAATAAAATTTTTTTTTATTAGAAAGAGCAATGTCTGAACTAGAAATTTTCAAGGAGACATGTTTTTCCAGAACGAATCTGAGCAGAAGAAAAAGCCAAAAACCAAACACCTCTAAAAGGGTTCTTGCAACTTCACCATCGAGCAATATC